ATGAAATGCCAATTTGGTATTAGTTTGGGCTGCTGTAACAGTACCAACAAACTGTGTGGCTTGAACAACAGAAAATCACTGTCTCACAGTTGTAGAGGCTAGAAGTTTGAGATCAAGGTGTTAGCAGGTTGGTTTTGTGGAGGGCGTGGAGGGAAGAATCTGTTTCTTGCCTTTCCCTAGCTTCTGGTGGTTTGCTGGGCACTCTTTGGTGTTCTTTGGCTTATAAGCACATCACCCTGATCACTGCCTTCATCTTCACATAGTGTTTCTATGTTGTACATATTCTGTTTCCAAATTTTCCTTTAAGAAGACACAGTTACTATTGAATTAGGGCCACCCAATATATCCATTTAAATTGATCATTTCTATAAAAAAAAACCCTTATATCCAAATAAGTTACATTCTGAGGTTCTGGAGTTAAGGCTTCCACCATTCGAATATTTTTAGGGAATGCAATTTTAACCCATAAACCACAACATTCCCATAATAGCTGTGAAAAAACTCAAAAACAATAACTCAAAGGTGGAAAATGCAAAGCATTTGGGTTGGAAGTGTGCTTTCATACATTACTGGTACAGAAGTTATATTCGTGGAGAATGGAATTTGTTTACAATATCGCTACATTGATATATGTATACTACATACGATGTTCTATTCCTTCTGGTATTTACTCGACTGAAAGTATGTAAAATATGTCAAAAATGGCCATGTATAACAAAATTCAAGCAGCACTTATTTTAGATAACCCAATGGAACCACCTGTAATTTCATCATGTGGCATAACCTTATAATGCGAATCACTAAAAAATAGCATGAAAATATTATAAGCCATTTGCTATTTGCCAAATCACAGGTATAAATCCCATATTAAGTGAAATTTTCAGACATCTAAATACATATTATATGATTTCAATTATAACAGCAAAAAAGTCCATGGCAAACTGAATCTAAAGAAAGTAGTCAGAATATTGGTTACTGCTTGGCAGGATGAGGGCAATGACTAAGAGGTTAACATGAGGGTCTTTCTGTTGACTGTTATCGCTTATTGCTTTGATTGTTCTGCACAGAAAACCTGGAAGGCTTTGGTATATAGAAATACAACAGGAATATTATACGCTTGAAAAACTTGAAACCAATATAACATTACATGCTTCCCCAACCAAATACTTCTCCTGAATTTTGCAATAATTTAATAATGAGAAAATAAACTTTGGAAGTTGAAGAATATTTCACAAATACTTTTATGCTTTTGGAATAAGAGGATAATTCATTCAGGAAAGAAAAAAGATGTAACAGGAAAACTTACCTGTTTACCTTAGATAGTGATATTAGTATTTTCGTTTCTCTTTCTAGGTAATAGGAAAAAAATGTTTTTAAATTTTTCTTATGTCCCTTTTATTTCCTTAAAATTATTATTTTTTTTTTTTTTTTTGAGCAGAGTCTCGCTTTTGTGCCCAGCGTTAGGAGTGAGTGCCGTGGCATCAGCCTAGCTCACAGCAAACCTCTCAACTCTGGCTCAAGCAATCCTTCTTGCCTCAGCCTCCCAAGTAAGCTGGGACTACAGGCATGCCCCGGCCACCATGCCCCGGCAATTATTTTTTCTATATATTAGGGTTGCAATAATTCTTTTCTATTTATAGAGAGACGGGTTCTCGCTCTTGCTCAGGCTGGTTCGTCGAACTCCTGACCTCGAGCATCGCGCCTGCCTCGCCTCCCAGAGTGCCTAGTGATTAACAGCTGGAGCACCGCGCCTTGCAATTATTTCTTTTCTAATGGAAATGATTGCCCTGGTCTGATATTTTCCTGATTTTTATATAGTGTTCTTCCAGCTCATAATCGAGAAGAAATGAAGAAAATAAATGATAAAGGATGGTGTTTGATGGTTTGACTAAAAAGGACAGGAAGAAACCTGTTTCTAATGGTTTTTATTTAGAAATAAAATCAAAGTGTTCTGTAACTCAATTAAAAAACTACTTTTCAACAAAGCAAAATACAACTTGCTGACTTTTGACTGAGTGGGCCTGAT